TGCACACTTCAGCCTGGGTGACAGGACAAGACCCTTCCTTTGGGCCGGGCGTGGTGGCTCAAGCCTGTAATCCCAGTACTTTGGGAGGCCGAGACGGGCGGATCACGAGGTCAGGAGATCGAGACCATCCTGACTAACACGGTGAAACCCCATCTCTACTAAAAAATACAAAAAACTAGCCGGGTGCGGTGGCGGGCGCCTGTAGTCCCAGCTACTCGGGAGGCTGAGGCAGGAGAATGGCGGGAACCCGGGAGGCGGAGCTTGCAGTGAGCCGAGAGAGCGCCACTGCACTCCAGCCTGGGGCACAGAGCCGAGACTCCGTCTCAAAAAAAAAAAAAAAAAAAAAAAGACCCTTCCTTTGAAAAATAACGGGGGATTTTACTGCAACAGGCGCAGCTAGACAGCAGTTGCCTGCAAAACGAGCTCCCTTGGCCCAGCTAGTGGGGACAAGGCTCAGGAACAGAATAGTACTGAGTGAGAGCACGTCAGGGAGGTGTCCTCACAGATGCTGCCCCTTCCCAAGCAAGGGGACAAAGCCAGTCCTGTTCCAAACACGACCAGCCCAATGAAACCACATCTCTTTCTTATTCTTTCAAGCAAGGTTGGCATTTTTCATATTAGACCATTTGAATTTCAGGAAAAGCGAATTAGGCCAGGTGTGGTGGCTCATGCCTATAATCTCAGCACTTTGGGAGGCCAAAGTGGGCAGCTCACCCGAGGTCAGGAGTTCGAGACCAGCCTGGCCAACATGGCAAAACCCTGTCTCTACTAAAACTACAAAATTAGCCAGGCATGGGGGCGGGTGCCTGTATCCCAGCTACCCAGGAGGTTGAGACACGAGAATCACTTGAACCCCCGAGGCGGAAGTTGAAATAAGCTGAGATCGCCTGGGTGACAGAGCGAGACTCCATTTCAAAAAAAAAAAAGGAAGCAAACTAGAGCATGGATCCCTAGATTTTTCTCATGCTAAGGATGCCTAAAAAGCACTGAGCTCCTCTCAAAAAACCAAAAACAAAAACACAAAAGCCCTGGTGCGGTGGCTCATGCCTTTAGTCCCAGCACCCTGGGAGGCTGAGGCGGACGGATCATGAGGTCAGGAGTTCGAGGCCAGCCTGGCCAATATGGTAAAACCCCGTCTCTACTAAAAATACAAAAATTAGCCAGGTGTGGTGGCGTGCGCCTGTAGTCCCAGCTACTCGGGAGGCTGAGGCAGAAGAATCACTTGAACCTGGGTGGCAGAGGTTGCAGTGAGCCGAGATCGCGCCACTGCACTCCAGCCTGGGTGACAGAGCAAGACTCCGTCTCAAAAAAAAAAAATCTCTATAAATTCTAGTCCTCTAAGCTTCCAATCTCTCAAGTCACGAGTGACAAGTCAGGAACAGGTTATCGAAACAGAAAGAATACACATTTCTGCTTTTTTGCCCCAGCACACAAATGAGGTGGTAAATGCTTTCGATGTTTTCTTTCCTCGTGCTACTGAAAACAGTTGTACGAGGAAATCCACAATTGCAGCTAGAATAATTTCCTTGAAAGGGAGACAAACAAACAAAAATGCCCTGGCTGGAGGGAACACAGCCAGCTGAAAATGAATGAGAAATCAGTTGATCAGCCGGCACGGTGGGTGGGTCATGCCTGTAATCCCAGCACTTTGGGAGGCCGAGGCGGGTGGATCACTAGGTCAGGAGTTCGAGACCAGCCTGGCCAACATGGTGAAACCTCATCTCTACTACAGATACAAAAATTAGCTGGGCATGGTGGCAGGCACCTATAATCCCAGCTACTCCGGAGGCTGAGGCAGGAGAATTGCTTGAACCCGGGAGGTGGGGTTGGCAGTGAGCCAAGATTGCGCCATTGCACTCCACCCTGGGTAACAGAGTGAGACTCTGACTCAAAAAAGAAAAGAAAAGAAATCAATTGATCAGCGCTTCTTTCCAAACGAGGTGGGTATTTTCCCCAGAGTGATCTCAGAGATTGATTTTGTTTCCGGGAGAGAGAGCCTGTCACTGTTTGCTGCTGGTCAGTTACATCTGCAGCCTCTTAGCAACAAAAGGCTATTTGCTTGACAGTTGGGACAGAGTGTGGAAGGCAAAAAGGACATCAAAAAGCCCATCAAAAAAAAAAAAAAAAAAAAAAAAAAAAAGTCCATCAAAGCACCCATCAAAGCAAGCAACAACAGACCCATCTAGAATTGGATCTTATCAGGGAGGAAGTCTACAGATAAGAGCAGGAATGAGGAAGAGAATTCCCTACAGGTTTTCAGTCTGGACAAACACTGTTTTTTCCCAGTGTTCCCTGGAAGATAGGTATGTCCGGAAATGACAAGGGAATCACCCTGGGGCTCGCTAAAGCAAACAACTCCCTTACTCAAGTTCGGGTGAGCCATTGACATGTTTGGAGCTGCGCTCACCACTGTTGCCTAATTTTGATCTAAGTGTTCAGATTCCAAAAACTTCCCTTCGTAAAGGAAATGACAAGAAACTCCCCCCTGGATATGCCTTGAAGCCAGCTGGAGCGTGAGGTGGCGCAGCTAGGAGTGCTAGAAACACACATCACCAAGCTCTCAGAAGTCTGGAGGGAAACATCAGGGGTGTGGTCTCCTTAACAACAGAAGAAACATCACATTCTCAGCCACCCCGCGATAGAGACAGCTAAAGTGATGAACGAACAAGGTCTTGCTTAAGACTCCCTTAACATTTTCTCTTAAGGAAGAGGTTGATTGGTGAGTGAAATACACATTAATCCAGTGCCTCTCTTTCTTTCTTTTTCTTTTTTTTTTTTTTGAGATGGAGTCTAGCTCTGTTGCCCAGGCTGGAGTGCAGTGGCCGGATCTCAGTTCACTGCAAGCTCCACCTCCCGGGTTCACGACATTCTCCTGCCTCAGCCTCCCGAGTAGCTGGGACTATAGGCGCCCGCCACCTGGCCCGGCTAGTTTTTTGTAGTTTTAGTAGAGACGGGGTTTCACTGTGTTCACCAGGATGGTCTCGGCCTCCCAAAGTGCTGGGATTACAGGCTTGAGCCACCGCGCCCGGCCTCAGTGCCTCTCTTTCTTTTGTAAAACTGGGTGGCAGAATGTTTGCAATAATCGTCATCCCTGGTGGGGCGCGGTGATTCACTCCTGTAATCCCTACATTTTGGGAGGCTGAGATAGGAGGATCGCTTAAGGCCAGGAGTTCAAGACCAGCCTGAGTAACAAAGCGAGACCTCATCTCTACAAAAAGTTAAAAAATAAATAAATAAATAAAAATAAAACAATAATCATCCGTATTTCACTGCACCCTCCCTCCCTCCCTCTCTGGCCTTCCAGAGGAAACCGGTGTGTTAGTTACAGTGTGAATTTCAAGGCAGTTCAAAGCTCTCCCTCCAGTCAAAGCCAACCCCCCTTGCCAATTAAAAAAAAAGTTTCCTGCAATCCTGTTCATCAGGCAATCCCAATCCTTTTCTAGGTTGGGCTGGTTCTCAGGAGGGAAAGGGCCATGTAGCTATTGTCTAGGGCGAGGCTCTCTCTCTGCAACTAATTTAAAGCCACCGAAAAAGCTCTAACTCAGGATCATGCACCAACCAGCCTCCTGTGGAAATCTAAAATCTAATCCATTTCACCCAGAGGAAAAATTGCCATTTGGACAGCTGAACCGAAGCCATTCACAGCCTCTGAAGAGGCGAGGCCACCCCACGGGGTCGGAAGATCTCGGCTTCAGACCAAGGAGGTAGATTCTGAGACAATGTTTCAGCCTTGGAAGGAACCGAGGCCTTGAGGGTGGTCGGGGGGCCCCTATGTGAACTTGACCGGGGCTGGCGGGGCGGGGGCGGCCCCCAGGACAAGGTGGGGATGGAGGTCTCGCCACAGAGCACAGCGGAAACCGGGGCCTTCGCCGGGAGGGCCCGGGCGAACGGAGGGCGACTCGTGTATGTCGCAGAGGCGACTCCGGGGACCCGGGACTTGTCGCCGCCTTTGTGACAGGAACCACGGAGGAACGCAAGGCTACCATGCAGCCGCCTAGCCCCGGACGAGGTGCGGCTCAGACTTCCGCGCCAGCCCCGCCCAGCTAGTACACAATCCCCGCCCTCCAGACGCCGGCCTCCACCTCCACCGCCTCCCATTGGATGAGGGGAGTGGCTCGAGGGTGGCCTGTTCGGACTGCGCCCAGTGGAATTCGGGAGGCGGGCCAAAGGGGCGGGGGCAGAGGCGGGAGGGGGTGGCCCCCGGACGGAGCACGCGGCGGAATCCGGGAACTGCACCCAACCTAGGGTGGCAGTAGCGCCCTGGGGTCGCGCAAAGCGGATCGGGACCCCTGAGCCCGCGGGGACCTCCAGGCTGGACATCTGGTCTCCAGTCGCGCGACCCTCGCCCCCAGAAAGACTTAAGCGGGGAGGAGGGGGGAGTGATCCCTTCTTTTAGGACTGGAGGTCCCCACACCCCGCTCTGAGTTAGAAGAGGGGGTCCCGGCCGGGCGCCGTGGCTGACGCCTGTAATCCCAGCACTTTGGGAGGCCGAGGCGGGCAGATCACCTGAGGTCAGGAGTTCGAGACCAGCCTGGCCAAAATGGTTAAACCCCGTCTCTACTAAAAGTACAAAAATTAGCCGGGCATGGTGGTTGGGCACCTGTAATCCCAGCTACTCGGGGGGCTGAGACAGGAGAATTGCTTAAATCCGGGAGGTGGAGGTTGCAGAGAGCAGAGATCGCACCACTGTACTCCATCCTGGGCGATATAGCTAGACTCCGTCTCAAAAATAAAGAGGAGGAAGGTGTCCCTTACCTGGTGGAGATTTGGGGGAGAGCCTTGCCCCGTTTCCTTTAAATCCCTCAGACTCCTCCCAACCTTCGCGCCCTACTCAGCGCCCCCTCCAGCCGTTTGGGAAGGACCCCGTGCCATTACCCTACAAGTCTTCCAGGGATAGAGTGATTTTTACCCCCCAAAAAAAAAAAAAAAATTCCCAAGGGGCCCCCCCCCCCCCCGGGGATTCCCTCTCGCCCTGCGTGGGCGCCTGGAGCAAGCCTTACCTGCAGCCTCCGCCGCGGCGAGGAGGAAGGCGACGGTCCAGCGCAGTTTCCAGCCCCAGGGCCCCATGCTCGCAGCCTCTGCCAGAAAGTGTCCCGACCCGGATCAGGACCCGCTGTGTCCTCGCTGGAAACTCTGGCTTCCCGCGATTGCACTCGGGGGCCCACGTCATTTACAGCATTTCAACGTGAGGTTTCTAGCAGGGGGAGGAGTTTGCAGTGGGGTGATTTTCAAATGTCTTCACCTCACTGCGAAAGGAGGAGTTTCAAACGGCTGATGTGACATCGGCTTTTTAACCCATGAAGCTCTGATTCCCACTCCAGTCTTTTGAAAGTGTTGCCAGGGCAGGCGACTTGATTTGCTGTATTCGGGTCTCTGGTGAAGAGCTGACTCTCCCCCAAAATTAGAAATGCATCTTCTGAAAGATCCCCCTGAAATGTCTCCACGTTTAACTGTTAATATGTTGTTGTTTTTGTCCACAGAAGGATAACAGCATCCTTTCAAAATCCTCCAATAGCCTAATGCCAATCCCTTCTCTGCCTCAAAAGGAAAACACTAGAAATGTTGGGAACTTCCGCCACTCTCTATATTTGCCTTTTCCTTTCTAGGAATTGTATATAGATTTTTAGCTTACTTTCGTTGTATATTGTTTTTACATGGTTATTCCAAATCACCTTATAAGCACTGATCAATAAGGAATTTAAATAAAATCTTCACAAAAGTACAGCCAAAAAAAATTTTTTTTTGTTTTTGTGGGATCCTGCCTTTGGATGAATTATCAGTATAAACATCTGAAAAATCAATTGTACAGATACCTGGAGTCTGGACATAAATATTGATTTCTCCCTTTAGGAGAAGGAGTTGAACAAACAGAAGGGGCGGCTTCCTCCCGCTCAAAGCAAAATCAAAACAGAACAGGGCTTTCACAGTTGAACTTGACCCCCTAAGCCACAGAGAGATGGTGGAGACCAACTTTTAGAATTGAGTCTCTTTGTGGACTCATGGGATTGCCAGAGACCTCGTGCCAAGAAGGCACGTGTGAGAAACTTGCCTGAACCCCACACAGGGCTGGGCAGTCTTGGTGGTTTTCCCCAGGAATGAGCTGGATTTCTCTGGGGTTTTGCAGACTGACTTTGGCAGGGAGTGCTAACCTCTCAGCAGGATTTCAGGGAAACCTAGGGGACGAGGCAGAAAAGAGACAAACTGAACTCTCAGTAGGAAAAAAAAAAAAAAAGATTAATCAGGGAGAATAATTTTACTATTTTTTATAATTATTATTTATCATTATTTCCAGCTGTGTCACTCAGGCTGGAATGTAGTGGCGTGACCACAGCTCTCTGCAGCATCAACCCTGGGCTCAAGGAATCCTCCTACCGCAGCCTCCGGAATAGCTGGGGCCACAGGAGTGCACCACCATGCCCAGCTAATTTTTAATTTTTTTAATAGATGGGAACTGTGTTGCCCAGGCTGGTCCCGAACTCCTGGCTTCACACAGTCCTCTTCCTCTTGCATCATGATTCCTCTCAAATTGCTGGCATTACAGCCATGAGCCACTGTGCCCAACCCAGAAGAAGAAATTGATAACAAGAATTTTTAGCAGTTGGCCGGGCACGGTAGCTCAAGCCTGTAATCCCAGCACTTTGGGAGGCCGAGGCGGGTAGATCACGAGGTCAGGAGATCGAGACCACTCCTGACTAACCTGCGGTGAAACCGGTCCAAAAGCACAAAAAAAAAAACACAACTAGCCAGGTGAGGTGGCAGGGCTGTGTTCCCAGCTACTCAGGAGGCTGAGGCAGGAGGGGGCTGTGGCCGCTAAACCGGCGGAGCTTGCAGTGAGCGAGATCCGCCACCGCTTGCGCTCGACCTGGGGTACAGAGGAGACTCAAATCAAAAAAAAAAATTGCCCGGCAGTTAGGAGCAGTTTCAGGAGCCAAGGGCTTGAGGACAGATAAATTATAGCTTTAAAAAAAAAAAAAAAAAAAGAATTTTTGGCAGTTAAGACACAGTTTCAGAATTAGGGGGCTTGGACAGATAAATTAGCTTTCCCAAACTGTAAAGGGGCCATCAAAATGCTTGAACTTACTTGGCAGGCTCAGTGTCAAGGTCAAATTGAAATAATTAGCAATCACCTAGAGAAGTTTACAAGGATAGGCAAGTTCTAGGAGCTGCTGCAACATTTATAAATGTGTCCCCACTGAATCCCATTCCTTATGCCATTTGTGACATTAAACAAAAAAGTGAAGGCTGGGTGTGGTGGCTCAGGCCTGTAATCCCAGCACTTTGGGAGGGTGAGGCAGGGGGATCACTTGAGCCCAGGAGTTCAAAGCCAGCCAGAGCAACACAGTGGGTCCCTGTCTCTACAAAAACTACAAAAATAAGTTGGACATGGTTGTGTGTGCCTGTAGTCCCAGCTGCTCGGGAGGCTGAGGCAGGAGGATGGCTTGAGCCCGGGAGGTCAAAGCTGCACTGAGCTGTGGTTGCAGCACTGCACTCCAGCCTGGGTGACAGAGTGAGACTGTGTCTCAAAAATAAAGATAAATTGGCCAGGCGCGGTGGCTCACGCCTGTAATCCCAGCACTTTGGGAGGCCAAGGCGGGTGGATCACGAGGTCAGGATATCAAGACCATCCTGGCTAACACGGTGAAACCCCATCTCTACTAAAAATACAAAAAAAAAAAAAAAAAAAATTAGCCAGGCATGGTGGTGGGCGCCTGTAGTCCCAGCTACTCGGGAGGCTGAGGCAGGAGAATGGCGTGAACCCAGGAGGCAGAGCTTGCAGTGAGCCAAGATTGCTCCTGCACCCCCAGCCTGGGCTACAGGCGAGACTCCATCTCAAAAAAAAAAAAAAAAAAAAAAAAAAAAAAAAAAAAGATAAATTTAAAAATTCAACTTAAAGCAAAAAATAAGTAAATAAAAATTTGAAAAGTCAGTATCAGTGGATTTTTCTTTTCTTTTTTTTTTTTTGGAGACAGATTCTTGCTCTGTCCACCCAGGCTGGCGTGCAGTGGTGTGATACCAGTTCACTGCAACCTCCTGTTCCCAGGTTCAAGCAGTTCTCATGCCTCATCCTCCCGAATAGCCGAGATTACAGGTGCATGCAACCACGCCTGGCTGCTTTTGTATTTTTATTAGAGGAAGCGGGGTTTCGCCATGTTTGCCAGGCTGTTCTCGAACTCCTGACCTCAAGTGATTCGCCTGCCTCAGCCTCCCAGAGTCTTGAATTACAGGTGTGAGCCACTGCGCCGGCCCAATATCACCGGGTTTGATTTCCCTTAAAAAAAAAAGAATTAAGGCGGCGGGCACAGTAAACCGTGCCTGTAATAACAGCACTTAGGAAGGCCAGAAGTGGATCACCTGACGTCAGAGTTTGAGACCAGCCTGGCCAACATGTAAAACCTATTTCTACTAAAACTACAAAAATTAGCCAGGCGTGGTAGCAGGCGCCTGCAGTCCCAGCTACTTGGGAGGCTGAGTCAGGAGAATCACTTGAACCTGGGAGGTAGAGGTTACAGTGGGCTGAGATCACGCCACTACACTTCAGCCTGGGTGTGGAAACTCCTCTGAAAAAAAAATATATATACACACAGATATATATATTAGATATATATACACACACATATATATATTAGATATAAATATATATGCCGGGCGTGGTGGCTCAGGCCTGTAATCCCAGCACTTTGGCAGGCCAGAGGCGGGCGAGGATCACTTGAGGTCAGGAGATCATGACCAGCCTGTCTACAAAGGTGTGAAACCCTGTTTCTACTAAAAAAAAAAATACAAAATATTAGCCAGGCATGGTGGCGCATGCCTGCAATTCCAGCTACTAGGGAGGCTGAGGCAGGAGAATCGTTGGAACCAGGGAGGCGGAGGTTGTGCTGAGCCGAGATCGCACCATTGCACTCCAATCTGGGCAACAAGAGCGAAACTCTGTCTCAAAAGCAAAAACAAAAAATTATAAGACCTAGGCTCAGTGTGTGTCATGAGTCCACATCTGGTGTTAGACAGGCCCGAGAAAGAGTTACAGAGAGGGACTCCTTTCGGAAGAACGCAGCTTGCGTAGTTCCCAGAGCTACAGGTCAGGGCAGGTCTGGAAAAGAGCCACAGAAACTCTGAAAAGCACATTCCTGGGGTGCCAAGGCCTGGCCAAAGGTTTCAGAACAGCGTTCCCAGGCCCCTGACCTGCCTACCACGCGGACACGGTCATACATGGCCCTGAGGACTGAGTCATGCTGATAAATTTTTCTGTTTCTTGGTTTCCATTTGTGCTCCTGTAACTAGCTCGTAGGGCTCTTGCAAGGATTAAGTTAAAATATACTCCCTGTGATTAGAGGCCAGGCGAGGTGGCTCATGCCTGTAATCCCAGCACTTTGGGAGGCAGAGGCGGGAGGATCACTTGAGTCCAGGAGTTGGAAACCAGCCTGGGCCACATAGTGAGACTCTGTCTCTACAAAAAATAAAACAATTAGCCAGGCGTGGTGGCTCACACCTGTGGTCCCAGCTACTCAGGAGGCTGAGGCAGGAGGATTGCTTGAGCCCAGGGAGGTTGAGGTACAATGAGCTATGATGGCGCCACTGCACTCTAGCCCAATCAACAGAGCCAGGCTGCCTCTCAATTAAAAAAAAAAAAAAAAAAAAAAAAAAAGGCCGGGCGCGGTGGCTCAAGCCTGTAATCCCAGCACTGTGGGAGGCCGAGATGGGCGGATCACAAGGTCAGGAGATCGAGACCATCCTGGCTAACACGGTGAAACCCCGTCTCTACTAAAAAAATACAAAAAACTAGATGGGGCGGGTGGCGGGGGCCGTAGTCCCAGATACTTGGGTGAGGCAGGAGAATGGCGTAAACCCGGGAGGTGGAGCTTGTAGTGAGCTGAGATCCGGCCACCGCCTCAGCCTGGGTGAGGCGAGACTCCGTCTCAAAAAAAAAAAAAAAAAAAAAAGGTGATTAGAGCCACACTCGGTGCATAATAAATACCATATATGGGTTTGCTTTTCTCTGTAGCTGCTTTTGTGCAACTTTACATTTTTTTTTTTTTTTAATCTCTTAGGGAAGACCTGCCTGTTCCTGCTGTTTTTTTTTTTTTTTTTTTGACAGAGTGTACCCTGTCACCCAGGCTAGCCTGCTGCCCAGCCCGATCTCAGCTCACTGCATGTTCCTGCTGCTTTTTTTTTTTTTTTTTTTTGACAGAGTCTTGCCCTGTCACCCAGGCTAGCCTGCTGTGGCCCGATCTCAGCTCACTACAACCTCCGCC